CCAGAGACCCCGCCAGCCCAGCACCCTGGGCATCTGAGACAAAGGGAGAGCATTTGAGGGCCACCCCAGCAGCCACTGCGGGATGGGCAGAGAGTGGGCGCTGGGAGGCAGGAGGGGACAGGGCGTCCACCCTGAGGTGCAGGCAGCTGGGACCACCCAGGACTGGGGGGAGGGGGCGGGTGAAGGGGGAATTTGGAGGCAGTGGATGTGACATGTGGGTGAGCACAACTCACAGGTGTGTTGGGTGCAATGAGGGGTGCTTTCCGGCAAGGATGGGGTACGGTCAGTTCACCCCAGGAAAGTGCTACCGTGGCCCCCAGAGCGACAGGTGGCTTTCTGTGTGCACAGAGCGTTCCCCGGCAATGCCAAGCCCATGGCCTAGGACACATCCCTTCTCCCCTTCATGGACATGGCTTCCGGGGCAGGTGGTGATGGTGAACTTACAGGTCAACTGAACTCGGCCACGGGGGTGCCAGCCACTGGCTCATGCATCATCCTGGGTGTGATGCGGGGGGTGGGGGGCTCAGGATGAGAGTGGACATTTGAACCTGTCCACTGGGTGAAGCAGAGACCTCCCTAGGCTGGGGGGCGAGACCACTGAAATCCGCCAACAAAGGAGCCATCGGCACCCAGCACGCCGGGAAGGCAGGGGCCCTCTGCCCTGCGCTCCGGGCCCCTGTTGGGCTTACACACAGCAACGTGGGTGGCCTGTTAGTGGACAGAAGTAGGGCTTCAGGAACCTAACTCGAAAGTTGGATGGATTTCAAACATCTGCGACCAGTGAGAAGGAAAAAAAAACCCCCACAGGTGTCTCTACAGCCACCTCCAGGGTGGCCTCCTGGATTTCCCTGTCGGGGCAGTGGCTCGACCTCCCAGGCTCAGGGATCGGCCTCTGTTCCAAGAGCTAAATCAGAGTCGCCTCTCCGGAACCCTGTTTCTGGGACCCTCCCCCTCTTCCACCACCAGAGGATGGGAGACTGCCGCCTCCTCAGTCACCCTGTCTTCTTACAGTCGCTTCTCCTGTCACTGGGGAGACAGCAACAAGACTTATACCCCCATTACAGCGACTCGCTGGTAACTCAGAAGCAAGGGATGTCAAGTCATACAAATTAGCTGACGCTCATGGTTAGAAAAAAGAGAAGAAAAGCTGAAGGAATTCCATGTCAAGGGAAGGACTGCCCTCTAGTCACATGTTACAGATAAACCCAGACGGAACTCGGTTTCCCGGGAGCAGGACCCCATGCAGGGAGAGAGGGGGTGGAATTTCTCTTGCCCCCTCTACACGGAGCCCCAAGAGCCGGCTGGGTGACTTGGGTCCCCATCACCCCAGGAAGTGTCTGCTCAGGGGTCCCTGCCCGCCAGGAAGTGACAAAGATGGTCTGGGACAGAACGCACCTGGGCTTTCTCAGGGGAAGGAATCACCAACTAAAAGGGGGGGAGCCCTGGTGGGCGGCGCTCAGTGGTTGAGCATCGACCTCTGAGCCAGGAGGTCACCATTCCATTCCTGGTCAGGGCACAGGCCCGGGTTGCGGGCTCGATCCCCAGTAGGGGGCGTGCAGGAGGCAGCTGCTGGATGATTCTCATCCTCTCCCTTCCTCTCTGAATCAATAAAAATATATTTTTTAATGGATTTATGGAGTCACACCCTAAGCCAGTGATGGCGAACCTATGACACGCGTGTCAGAGGTGACACGCGAACTCATTTTTTTGGTTGATTTTTCTTTGTTAAATGGCATTTAAATATATAAAACAAATATCAAAAATATAAGTCTTTGTTTTACTCTGGTTGCAAATATCAAAACATTTCTCTATGCGACACGGCACCAGAGTTAAGTTAGGGTTTTCCAAAATGCTGGCACGCGAGCTCACAAGGTTCGCCATCGCTGCCCTAAGCCGCCGTGGCGCCGTGGGGTGCGGTGCACATTCGGAGCAGCGTGCGCGGCAGCCGGTGACGGACATAACGCGGTTGGCACGTTGGAGATGCCAGGCTGTGCCTCCTTCCTCGGGAGCTGACACCTCACCCCTGGACGTGGCTCAGCGTCTCCCCAGCCCCTCCCTCCAGGCCGAGTGCGTGTGGGCGCTGGGGAGACCTGCCGTCCAGGGCACGAGGGTCCCGGCCTCCAAGGAAGCAGGGTCTCCAGCAGGAAGGAGCCCGGGCCCTGCTGTGAAGCGGGAGCGGGCACCCCCCGCAGGGTGATGGGGACGGGCAGGGGCAGCAGGGGCGACTCCCACGGGGGGGCACGGGGAAGGTGCATCGAATGAGGGACAGCGGTCACTCCTGGAGGAAGGGGCGCTGTCCGCTAAGGTGAGCAGGGGCCTGCTTCAGGGAACGGGCACCCAGGCTGAGGGCGGCGGCCCCTCGGTTAATCCACTTCAATGGGCCAGCTCCCAGAACCCCGAGGGACCTCGTTTTTCTGTTCCCCTTCGTTACTGCCACTTAGAGCTTTTATTTTATTACAAACATTCTTTGGCCCAGTCCCGGCCGATCTCCTAATGGGAGCCGCTGCCCCCACCCCCGCCCGGATCAAAGCCGCCTGTTTGTTTGTGGAGGACAGAGGATGAGCCGTCTTGCTGGCCTTTGAACATGAAGGCCCCTTTGTCTTCCCGCTGAAGTCATCCCTGGCACCAGGCGGGAGGCGCGGGTGGGGGAGGGCTCTGCAGCCTGGAGGAGGCTGGACCGGAGCCAAAGTGGGGGCTGGCTCTCAGAGGAAGACCCCAAACCTCCCCGCCAGCCCCAGGGGGGTGCGTCTCAAACGGGCGGGCCCTCGGTAAGTCTTATTTGCCCCCTGTGATGATTTTTTACTTAAATACTAAAGCAAATATTGAAAGACTTAAAAATATACCAGGTCTTGCCCCGGCTGGTTTGGCTCAGTGAATAGGGCATCGGCCTTTGGACTGAAGGGTCCCAGGTTCGATGCTGGTCAAGGGCTCATGCCCAGGTTGCAGGCTCAATCCCCAGTAGGGGGCGTGCAGGAGGCAGCCAGTCAATAATTCTCTCTCATCATTGATGTTTCTCTCTCTCCCTTTTTCTGAAATCAATAAAAATATATTATATATATAATCAGCTCTTAAATATTTCATAAAGAAATAGAATATTTTATTCCTAATTTCTCTTTAAATATCTGGCAATCCTGGGCCTCAATGGAGGGAATGAAGTAACCAGTTTTCTGAACTTTTTTTTTTTTCATGATCTTCAGGGCATTAGGGTTTTCAGTCCTATTCAGTACCTTTGTTTCTTTTTAACAAAGCCTGTAAATGACTGTTTTTCTTCAAGTTCCTGATTTTCTATCCCCGGGCCCACCAGAGCCTCACCTCTGCATTGGAGGAGGTAGCGGTTAGTGGGGAGACGATTGTGCCCATTTTACAGATGGAAAAACCGAGGCCCTGTGGCATTTAAATAACCAGCCCAAGGTCACAAAGAGGTTAATGGTAGGCTCAAGAAATAAGACTTAGAAGACAAAGGAAGTTAACATGGATTTACCTCTTTCATTTTAATATTATGGTCCACA